ATTATAAGAGAGAATAAAAAGATAATTTGAGTGATTTCATTTCATTGTATAACTCTGGCTAAATGCTAGAAACGTGCTGATTTTCCTGAGGGCATGAATGAGTCGACGTTTCACTGGGAGTTCTAGTTCACTGGTGAAGAACCCCCAGTACCCCAAAGGTCAGCAAACTGAGGATTCTTATCTTTCCATGTCCACTACAATGAGGATTATGGCTCAGTTTTTCCTTTCCAGTTTTTCACAGTCAATCTCTTCCTTTTCCACTTGAGAACCTTCTGGGGTGAGGGTCTTGTGAGTTGTCACCTAGACTGTAGCCAGGCAATGGAGAGATTGGAGTTAGATTGTCCCGGGTTCAAATTCCAGCTCGGTCACCATTGCCATCTATATCAGTTTCTAAAGGTGCTGTAACAATGTGCCACAAACTAGGTAGCTTACCACAACAGAAATTTACTCTCACAGTTCTGGAGGCTAAAAGTCCAAAATCAAGTGGTCAGCAGAGCCGCACTCCCTCTGAGAATTGGGTAGAACCCTTCCCTGCCTCTTCCCAGCTGCCAGACGTGACCGTCACCCCTTGGAATTCCTTCACTTGGGGTGGCATCACTCCAGCCTCTGCCTCTATTACCTGGCATTCTGCTGAGTGTCTCACGTGGCCTTTTCCTCTTCTTTTAAGGACATAAGTCATATTGGATTAGGGCCCCACTAATAATCTTATCTTAACTTGATCACATCGGCAAAATCCCTATTTCCAAATAAGGTCACATTCACTTTTTGGGGGGTGGGGGTGGGAACACATTTTAACTCATAGCACCATCTCCATGAACTTGGGCAAGTGATTCAATGTCTATGCTCGTCAGCTTTCTCGCTGTAAAAGAGGAGCATCAATGCGGGTCCCCTCCAGCTGTGAGGAGTGTGTGAAGCACCGGGAAGAGCCCATTGCACCCTCTCAGTGCACAGGAAACGTTGCTTTCCATCCTCCGCACTCCCAGCCCAATTTCATGGCCTCACATGACTGACTTGTACTTGCTACATACAGGCCATCTACTAGGCACTGTAAAATATACAAAGATGGCTCCTTTCCCTGGAGAAGCTCACACAGTTTGAGGACAGATAGGAGTTTGTAGTACAGAATAAACTTTGTGTGTCTTGCAGGAAACAAACAAGCAGTGCTGAGAAGAACAGACAATTACTGGCTGAGTGACCAGCCAAGGTCCTCAGAGCAAATCCGTTGCAAAGTTGGAAACTGAAGCCCAGTTTTTAGATCAGTTTCTTTCCTGTTCAAACACATTTGACAATTATATCACTTGTCACCTTTTAACCACTTGAACATTAAATACGATCACTGTTTGCTCGTAAGGTGTACCGATGCCAGGTGGCAGCACCCTTAGGGGATACCCGTAACCTTCCGGTGGCCACACACATGGCCCTTTGCACAGTTTACTCCCACTTCCTGACATTCACACACATACTTCATCATACCCATTTGCTCTACTCTGTTATGCCCTGGAAATTCCCTTTTCTCTTCTGTGGTGGCCACACACATGGCCCTTTGCACAGTTTACTCCCACTTCCTGACATTCACACAAATACTTCATCATACCCATTTGCTCTACTCTGTTATGCCCTGGAAATTCCCTTTTCTCTTCTGCAGCAACACAATAAAGCCGGGAAAAGAATATAGACACCAATTTCAGTGCCTGGTGTGTAAAAACTCACATTCGTATCACCTATCGAAAAAAGAAAAAAAAAAATCATTAGGTACTTCAACCATCCACAAATCATGTCAGTCCATTTGGCAGGATCAAAACAATGAGCAAGATTTTTCATATTCTTTCCTGTGGCACCACAATTTCGGTGTTCATTCACAGTACGTACTATTTTTCTACCTGTATGCCCCTCTATACCCTGAGATTGATAGATGAGCAAAAATCTATAAATGAAAAGGAAGGATTGTTCCTGATGTTGATACATTTATTTTAGTTAGTTCATTCCAAGCAAGATTATGAAGATTCTCAACCCAGGAAAAATAATCTCCTGAGTTTTCAGTGACATTGCTAAAGATTTAAGGAAGGAGATAAATGTCTTCTAGTGAAAAGTTAAATGGTATTGTCTTGGTCAGTTCCAGCTACTTTAACAAATCACCATAGATTGAGTGGCTTAGAAACAACAGAAATTTATTTGTCACGGTGCTGGAGGTTGGAAGTCCACCATCAAGGTGCCACCAGACTCAGTGTCTGATGGGAGCTGGCTTCCTGGTTCGTGCGGGGGGGAGGATGCTTTCTTGCTGTGTCCTCACATGGTGGAAGGAGAGAACTGTGGTTTCTACAGCACCTTCTAAGGGCACTAATCCCATTCATGAGGCTCCACCCTCATGACCTAATCAGCTCCCAAAGTCCCCACCTCCTAATACCATCATATTAGGGATTAGAATTTCACTATATGAATTTTGGGGAACACAAACGTTCACTCCACAGCAGGCGTATTTTCTCATTCTGTGTCATATACCAGAAGCCATGGTTACTGCGGCACTGCCCTATGTGAGAGCCCCTCATTTATCCACAGAACTTGCAGAAATAACACGTATGTCCACAGAACATGTCCAACACTCTCACTGCCCATTGGGCGGAAGGATGGTAAATAAAAATGCCAAAATTGCTGCCGCGAACTTTAGATGAAACACTAAGGAACTGTTTAGAAAATAGCAGAAAACTTATGTGATTTAAGTTGGCAGTGAGTTGCTGTCGGCTTACAGAGCAGCCTAACACGGGAATCATAAACACAGGATGCTATGGCATAGACCCTCTCTCGTCACTTTCTCTGTTTTTCTCCACCTCCCATGCAGTCTTGCTTACATATCAGCTTAAATACCAAAAGTGCAAAGGAAATGTTACTTAGACCTTTTTTTTCAAAATGGGTGATATAAGTTTGAAAGTTATTTTTGAAAGATCTATAGGAAATTATCGTATTGCTGTGTATTTTACCTAGGGAATGGAAGTCAATTACTTTCCAAAACAGTAATGTCTTTCTAGAACATATAAAATACTCAATACCTAGTATATGGGGAGGAAGCTATTTCACCTCTCACTTAAATAGGACTTGTGGACGTTTTGATATTCCTTTATTATGAACTCCTTCACTCCCAAGTGGTAACAAAGAATGCTTTAATTTCTTCTTTTGTTGTTGTTTTGTTTTGTTTTGTTTTTGTTTTTCTAGCACAATGCTTTTGTATTTATTCTTCATATGAATGATATCTAAATGTGTAAGATCAATACTTGTTAAGTCAAGTACTATTTTGATATCCATCTGCCAATCAGAATCATATATTAAAGCATCCAACAATTTCAAAATTTATATGGTGACAATAAAAATAAAGCACAAATATATTCTGTGTTATTACTGATATGGACATAATATTTATTCTCAAACTTTTATTTATTTATTTGTTTGTTTGTTTGCTTTTATTGTAACATAGTTGATTATATGTATCTGTGGGGTACAGAGTGGAATATCAATACCTGTGTGCAATATGTGATGCTCAAATCAGGATCATTGGCGTCTTCAATGACAACTAATAGATCAATTTTCATTCTCTTCAAATTTTCTTTGGATAAATGGTATCACTCCCTGACAGTACTAAACACAAATCGAAGAACTGAAAAATGTATTTGACTCATTTTGAAAATCATTTTCCTGGTAAAAGTTAAGGATTATCCACAGTTGCCTGGTAAATGCACAATGGGCTGAGCATTTGGGGATTGCTGGGATGAAGTAGAATGGGGCCCTTAGGAGGAACCACATATCAAAGACAGCTCTTTAAGTACAACCATTTGCTTGGTAAATCCAGTCATTGTCTGATGTCCCTGCTGCTTTTCACAGATACAGGCCCTTGGTTGACACATTGCTGGGCGAGAAGAAGGGCGAGTCTGCTGAGGAGAGGTGTCGGCTTGTTCTCCAGCAGTGTAAATTACAAGGCTGGCAGGTTGGTAACCTACAAGCTACGGAAATGCATTTAAGATTTTAAATAAGTGTGCTGAATTATTGTGGGGAGCCACCAGAATCTTCCTGACAAAAACAAATTCCTTTGATGTATTTGGCAAGGTATGGCATTAAGTGTATTCCCTGGGAACACATCAGTCTTTATGATGTACTGGTTTTTGCACCATGCAGCCAACCTATGAGGGGACCCAGGAGGCTCCTTTTTACAGTGATGACAAGAAGCTCATGAAACTCCATTCGGTTTGCCCATGTAGCAGACTTATGCCTTGTCACTAAAGCTCTTTGAAGTATCTGAAACATAGCAGGAGCCAGAGAAGCCCAAACTAGGGTTGGTTTCTTTGCTCAGAGCCGTGACTTCCCACGCTCACTGAAATCTTGCTTAGGTCCCTTTTTTCTGTTTCTCTTTGCCCTGCTTCTCACCTACCACACAGTGAAAATGTCATTATCCTTTGAACTTCGTTCAGTGGCAAGGGCTTCATCATTGGAAGCATTTCATTATGGTCTGTGATCCACTTGAATGGCAGAGCCCAGTGTCCCATTGTAGCTATAGCTGGACTTGCCAAAGTCTGAAATAACTTGAGACAAAATAATAGTGGAAACGCTCACCAGAAATAGGAGGGGACAGCTCCAGATTTTGCTCAACACCTTAAACAACATCAAAATACCATTTCTGGCTTGTTTTTGGAAGAAGGGATTTCGACGGAGAAGATAGTATTAAAACAATAATGGGAAAGAAAATGAAGTCCATGACACCAGGAATTACTTGGAAGTTTCTAGCTACAGAACAACTGAAAGTGTCCAGGTGGCAAAGAGAATGGCAGCTCATAGCTTTGGTAAAACATAACAATTACTGAAAGTCAGACATAAATCTTATTTTAAAAAATTGATAGGGAGAACAGCTATACATAAAAATGTAGGGTCATTGATGGGGCAAAATGAGGACTTCGCTTCAGAAGTGACAGGATCAGACAGTGCAGACGTGCTGAACTGCTGAAAGTGGCCCAATCTAGGTAGAGCAGGTAGAGAACACTGGATTGGCATGGGCACACTCATCCATCTCCATGACAAAGAACTGAGAACCCAGAACCTTGGCATCGATGAGTAATAATTTAATTGTCCGTGTCACCCAAAACTTTTTCTTTATCTTTTTTCTTTTCTTTTTTTTTTTAATTTAACTAATAATGGAAGTTGAACTTTAAATAACAGTGTGAAGGAGGAAGCTTACTCAGCCTGCAGTTGTCACGGCTGTGCCTCAGTGCCAAAGACTGGATATAAAAGGAAGGAGGAAGGAGGAATTACTAAGCAAGCACGATGTCAGCTCACTGCTCCGGAGTCGGTGACACAGACGTGGGATCCTCAGATGGCATTATTTATCAAGTCTGTAGGTCACGGAAGTCATTTCAACTGAGTCACTGCTGGAATTTTAAATAACTAATTGTATAGTAGTGGTTCATGAGTAATGTAACACTAAGATTTTCTTGTATTTATTTTCTTTAGAGAATACTCACAGATAAGAATTACATATATTATATATATGCATGTATATACACATATAAAATACATATATGCATGCATATATAATATATATATAAATGCTTGGGAAGACTTTTTTAGTTGTACAAGAAAGCGAGGAATCTTAAATAATTCTTCCGCTGAGAAAGCTACTGGCAGTAAGCACGGTATCTGATCGGTAGTCCCTCGGATACACCACTGTGGAATGTGGGGTCAAGCGTGAGAGGAGGCTGGGAGACACACCGGAACATGCCAGGAGCCTTCATTGCTTCTCTGTCTGTGCCTGTGCTGGGATACTTGAAATTGCAGCTGCAGGTGGTATTAAGTTGAAACATACGTGGGGACTTTGAAAAAGAGCATCAATATAATAAAAAGGGAAAGGGTTTTCATTTCATTACACTTACCCATCTTTCCTCTCGCTTTTTTTTTTTTTTTTCC